TGTGGAGCTCTGATGTCCTTGTATTAAGCAGCTGCACTGCAATCCTACAGGCATGTGGTTCAAATCTACACCGCTGCTCTACAGGAGAAAGATGGGCACTCCCCCTATGTCATTTACTGCCTCTGCAAACCTTCTGGAGGCTTAGCTATCAGTTGGTTTCACTTGACACTACCTAACAACAACAGCAGTAGTGCATAATAGACTCTCAATTAATTCTTGATGAAGAAATGAATTAGTGGGTGTGGAATATGCACTGGACTGTGTCTTACTTTAGATATAATTTATTGTTCCTTAATATTCTGATTTCATTAAATCTGCCTTATAAGTCTTTTAAGAGATAAGTTATTGTTTTACTTTGAAGGTAAATTGTTATAAAATATTTTAAAAATAATATTCTGTAAAATTCACCTGTAGAAATTAAATCAAGTATATTTGAGGTTTTGTTTTTAATGATGACTTAGCATCACAAAGTACTTAGAACCTGTTAATAGTGTACTAAAACCTATTTATGCTCTAAACTCACAAAATACTTACAATCTAATACTAGACAGTATGCTCAAAGCTTGTTTCATACTACACACATTATAAAAAGAATTGACATTTGTTTATAATTTCTTTTGCAGTTATGATCAATGAAGTCATTAATTGTAGACATTTTTTTGCTTCTAAGTAGTCACTTCCTCTTCAGATTTGTGTTACTAATTCTAAGCCTGTTTTAGCTCTTGTTTCCTTAAGTGTTTCCATCTGTCATTATTTGCTTTATATGGAAAGATTTACCTTCCACAAAAAAGAGGACTTGTTAGGTTTAGAAGTAAGGACTCCATTTCCTAAAGTCTTTCAAATTTATGACTTTCAGAAACTGTGCCTGGATGTTTTTAAATTACATCACTTAGAGGCCAAGAAATTGTTCACTGTTCAAACTCTATTATTGTGCTTCTGCTATTTTGTTGTGTTCATTATCCAGTTTAATCACCTGGACCATCTTGCCTGTTGGGTTCCATTTCTTTTGTTCTACAGGAGAAGCTAAAGTTGTCCCTTTATCCATTGTATCATGATTCAACTTTAAATTCTTTTTTCTTTCCACTGTTTTTAGCCACATTAAGACAGTAAAAACACCGGAGTGAATCTTTTAGTCCCTATCATTTTATCATCTAATAAATATTTTAGCTGTGATATTTTATGTTTTTCTACTGAGTTTCCATAATTTCCATTATTCATGTTTTGCATGAATCCCACCAAAAAACTCCATTGCATCAAATCTTTTCCAGGTTTTAGTGACCTTCCATCAGTTTTGTGAGGTTGTAAATCTTTATGGGAGGAAACTGCAGAGGGGCTGATAGATTCATTGCAGTTCAAACTATCCACATTTCAAGTGCTCAGTAGTTACTTGTGATCCATGACTGTTGTATTGAACAGCATAAATCTGTTTAATATAAATAGCATGAACCAGTATGTCTGAAATAAAGAGGATGGCACAAGACAGGACAGATTTCAGATCTGTTGTTCATAGGGTTGCTGTGGGTTGCGTTTGATTCAGGGGGACCTAACAACAGCAATAATTGTTCTGAAACGAGCTCTGGTGGTCTAGCAGTAAGGAGTTATGCTACCAACCTGAAGGTACGCTGTTCAAATTCACCACTTGCTCCATGGTAGAAAGATGGACCTTCTCTTCCCATGCAGTGTACAATCTCTGAAAACCCACTGGCAGGTCAGCTATGAATCCATTTCCAATCCACAGTACATAAAAACAGCTGCTCTGAAGCACTGTATTATAGAATTAACCTCGGACTTCTTAGTCATCATCAAAGAGAAGTTCCATAGTGTGTTAAAGTGTACACAACTTAAAAAACTAATCACTGTGCTTTACAGAGAGAAGAGCCCTGGAAAATATCAAAGAGGGAGTTTTGAAGATCAAAGAAGAACCACCTAAACTACTATCAGGAAATAAGTTTCAGGACCGATACTTTGTTTTACGAGATGGCCATCTCTTTCTTTACAAGGATGTTAAGGTATTTTTATGCTATGTATCTATATTTGTATAAGTTTTATGTCTGTGGATGTTGGCATTCTTATTTTACAATTCTATTCCGCTTTCTTGCTTCCAAGTTGTAGCCCACTAGTAAATAAATTGCATAGGAAGCTGATGCTTTATTTGGTACCTAGAACTTGACAGGAATGTGTTTAGTAACACAGTGAAGCACTTTGTATATGACCCCCCCTTAGCATCTCATGTTTTTTTCTGGCAGAAAATGACTTCAGACCTGAAAAATGTGTGTGTGTTGGGGGGAATCTAAATGTGTGTTGTATAAAGACACTTATTAAGTCTGCATCACAGTGAATCAGATTACAGAAGGAGGTGTCATACCTTATGGCAAAAATAGCTTTATTTAATTTACGAAAATTAATAAAAGATAAAAGGAAAACTCAGAACCACCAAATTTAAATGAATAATAGTAATATATTCCCTGTATTTTTAATGAATGAGCTCCTATGATATCATACTTAGTAACTGAATCCTGTTAATGTATCCCCATAGGTTTGAAGTAATTAATAAAATTTTACAAAATGTTAAATGAAAAGGCAAGGAGAAATGAAAAGTCAGTTGAGTGAGACGATTTGACTTTAAGAATGTTGATCCTGCAATCAGAAAAATGTTGCCTCCACTCAGTTTGTTTTGTGAATACTTACACTTTGTATCCACTTCAGATTCTAAGTCAGTAATATGATGATGATAGTATGAGTCTTGCATATCAGGTAGCATTTTTTTCCCTCAAGTTGGTTTACTAGTTTTTAAAATATTATTTTATATTGGTTTACATAAAAAGTTCATCAAGTTCATATACATTGTTTTTCACACTAGACCTTTCTCCTTTCCTTTACCAATCCCTTCATCCGTCCATCAAATTGTGTGACCCTATGATTAGGGAACCCCCGCCCCCTTGTATCCTTATACTCGTTCTATAGTAATGGTCTTTTGACCATTCTATTTTGACCAATAATTATCTTTATGAGACTGAGTAGCATGCAGGAGCAATGATTTTGTAAATTACTAAATTACTACCTAACACGGGAGGGACTGGAGAGCAGTATAAAATTCTTTTTTAAACTATAATGTTTTAAAATGTAAGTAATAATCTTAGCATGCTTATCAAACTCACACTCAGTTGTTGTCAAGTCTGAACTGACCGATAGCTGACCCTCCCATCGGGTTTTCGGAGACTATAAATCCCACGAAAGGAGATTGCCAATCTTTCTGCCTCAGAGCTGCTGATGGACTCACACCACTACAGAGTCTTTGAGTCAGCACCACAACTCCCTAAAGATGATGCCACCAAAAGATACCACCAAGTATGAATAAGCATGTCACAGACCAAAAAATATTTTATCTGCGTATATTTTCACATACAAACATTTTCTCTTTCTTAATTATTTGTATGTATATTTCTTCATCTCATCTCTGTCCTTATCCCTAGTCTGTTATCAGGGATCTCCCTAAATTCTTGAGAGCAGTGATGGCAATTTGAGAACCAAGGTGCATCTGATTCAGGCCGTGGTCTTTTCAATCACTTGGTGTGCATTTGAGAGCTGGATGATGAATAAAGATGACAGAAGAAGAATTGATTCTTTTGAATAGTAATGTTGGAGAATAGTGCTGGATATCCCAAAAGAACAAACAGAGAGGTCTTAGATAGGGTGCAACCAGAGTGCTTCTTGGGTGCAAAGATGAGAAAGCTTTGTCTAGCACACTATGGGCATGTTGCTAGTACAGGTTACTCTTTGGAGAAAGACATGATGCTTGGAAAAGTGGAGAGATGGCAAAGGAGAGGAAGAGCCTAAACCAGGTGGATTAACACAGTGACTGCAGTGGTGGGTTTGAGCATGTCAGTGATTGTGAGGATGGCACAGGATAGGACAAGTTTCAGACTGGGTGTTATCAGTTGTACTCAACTCAACAGCACCCAGCAATTTCCTTATCTATACATACAGGTATGGATATATGAACTCTTATCTAGACAATGTACAGATTTGCCCTATACATCAGCAATAAAATCACAAACTAGTAAAAAATGAGCAGAAGATGACTAAGAATGATCAATAAGCCATTAGAGATCCCTAGTGATTTAGTATGGGAGCTCTGTAATATGAGCTGTTATGCTGAAGGCACACCGTTTGAGGCCACCAGCTGCTCCACAGGAGAAGGATGGGCAGTCTCCTCCCATGCTATTATCTGCCTCTGAAAACCCGCTGGAGGGTCAGCTATGGGCTGGTTCTGACTCTATGGTACATAAACAACCATGGAATAGTTGTGTTGTTAATTCAAGAGGTGCACTTCTCTGCTGGTTCAAATCCAGCAGCATCTCTAAGGCAGAGAGAAAGGCAGTCTCTTTTCTTGTGGTTTACTGCGTAGAAGATCCATTATATGGTCAGCTGTGTCTCAGTTCTGATTAAGAGGCAATGAGAAAGCTAGAATAAGCCATTGAACTAAAATTCTTAAACATCTTTGATGAGGGAAATCCAAATTAATACCTCAGTGAAATACTGTTTTATGCTCAATGGTATTATATAAGGGAATCACAACGCAGATAATCACTCTGTGTCGTCAGGTCAATTTGGATGCGCGGTGACCCTCAATCGATCTGGATTCCAAGGCTGTTAGATCTTAGCAGGGGAGACTGTCTCGTCCTCCCGTGGAGCCACTGTTGGACTCGAACTGCTGAGACACAGCCTTTTAGGGAGCAGTACATGCTGCCGACCGTGCCACCAAGGGGCTATAAAACTGAGTTTTTGGTGTCACCTTGAAACAAATGCCTGGTGATTTGCTTCTGAAAGGTCACATCTGTGATATCCTATGGAGCCTCCAGTTCCACTGAGAAACACACAGTGTTGCCAGGACTCTGAATTAGATCAATGGCAGTTGGTTTCATTTTGACCTTTTGTATAATTAACATCAGTCAGGCTGACAGTACCTCGCATTAACAAGAATGTGGATGACCCTGCTGGTTTAGTGGTCAAGAGTTGTACTGGCCATGCAGAGGTTTGAATCGACCAGCTGCTCCGCAGCAAAGTGATGGGCAGTCCTCTCTCATAGGGTATAAAACCCCCGGGAGAGTCAGCTGTGTGTCATTTCCAGCTTGGCTGATGCATAAAAGTAACAACTCTTAATCAGTTGTTGGAGATTTTTGATATGTTACTTGTTATGTTTCTTTTAATGACATAATACATATGTCTCCTGACCCAACCACTGTCACTTGTAAATGTTATGTGCCCAAGAGTGCTTCTGCAAGGATGTTGAAAGCAGCCTTATTTTTTAAAAGTCCAAACCTGAATAAATTCCAAATGTCCATCAGTAGAAAATGATATTCTCAAAGGAAAAAAAAAAAAACAAAACAAAAACCTGTGAGACCTAGAAAAACAGTTCATTTCCATCTCAGGGAGTTCCAACCCATAAGTTTTAAGTGTCAAAAGAATAATAGTGTTAGAGATCATCTTTAGTACTAAAGGACTCGTTGTTGTAGTGGTTGCAGCAGCTAATACCAAGGTCTTATTCTGTATCAACGACAGTCCCATTCATTTCTTTGACCATCTTCCTTTTTCTTTACAGTCACCCTGTGAAATCTCTACTATTGTTACACGCATGTGATAGGTGGATACGTTGCCTTCCAAAGAGATAGCATACCTGCTCCAGCATCATATAGCCAGCAAATAATGGGGCCAGGTGTCTGACCCCAAAGTTTCTGTGCTGGGAATTTACTAAGGAAATTTACTCACAGAATTTTATTTGAAGAAAATAAGTACTTTTCATTGTTGTTGTTGTTGTTGTTACTGTTGTTATGTGCCGTGGAGTTAACTATAACTCTTCAGATAATGTAAAAAAATTTCAACTGTTACAGGTCAGCACATTGCATTTTATATGATGTTCCCTTAGGCTAGGAGTCCTGATGGCCCAGTGGTTGAGGACATGGGCACTAATGAGCAAGCTAATACTTTGAATTCACCAGCTTTCCAAGGGAGAAAGATGCATCATGTTTCCATAGACCACAGTCTTGGATACCTGAGGAGCAGATCTATTCTAGCCTATGAGTCACTATTGACTTAACAGTAACACAGTTGGGTTTGGGTTCCCTTAAGCTCGTTTAAACTTTAAAATCAGTCCTAGGAAGCCTATTCATAGAGAAGTGACTCTAAAATACACTTTTTTTCTGTGAAATGAGAATATATTTTGAAAAGGTTTTTTTAAAAACCTTTTATCTTCTTTATAAAAAAAAAAAACACCACCCAACCCTTTTATCTTCTTAAATGTGTAGTCATGGTGAGAAAGAGCATTGCAGTCTCAAAGGTACATGGTTCAAATCCATCATCTGCTCCACTGGAGAAGGATGGTCAGTCTCCTTCCTGCTTTACAGCTTACTGTCTCTGAAAACCTCCTGTAGGGTCAGCTCTGAGTAGGCTGCAACTTGACAACACACAACAACGTTTAATGAAGATAATGTATATAAATTGATGGACAGGGATAGTTTCAAGAACTTATCAAAGCACAGTGCTCTTTAGGACACTTAAAGAAGAATACTTTTTAAAAACATAAGAGTGGCATCCACTTCCTAAAGAACATACCTGTGGAAACTCTATGAACTTTGATAAATGATGATATAGTTAAAGAGCGTCTTCAGGCATTTTTTTTGTTCATAGGGTCACTATTTGTCATGCTTAACCCAATGGCAGTCAACAACAACAATAATAACTCCAGATTATGGAATTATAATTTAACTGTTTCGTGCTAAAGTATTTATATATCTGTCAGAATAAGTTAATGCAACTGATGCTTTGATTTGTTCACATTAAGATAGGCATTTAGTTTTTCCAAAGCTGAAATTTCTATTTTGTCAAGGCATGATTTTATTTTGCTGGTGATTTCTTCCATTTTGTAGATCTCTTTAAATGTCAGTGGTCAAGTCATTGTCACTATCAGCATTTCAGATCATGTTGTTGCCACATATAATCATTGTAATTA